CAAGTTTACTTTGTTTTTCTGTTGTTTCAGTCCAGTAAGTTAGATAATTTTCTTTTTGTGTTTTTATAATTTGGTTGGGCCAAATTTTGTAGATGAATATTTCAGTGTCCTGATGCTGGCTGTTGTTAGTCATGTTAGTTTGTTTTTGCAGCTTCAGGACCTTCTGAATCAGGGGACTTTTTTCAGGGTTCACTTAATATTTTTAGGGCCTTAAAATGCTAAGAGTTGGGGTCACTCATTTTTAGGTGTTTCCAAAATTTGATGGCTCTTTTCTCAATGCGTATTAGTAGAGGGTATTGGCCTAATTCTAATTATGCGTATACATGCATCATTCTTATCTCTGTCCCTTACAAACACACAGACACCAAGTCTCTGCTTCCGTCCCTCCCTGGCATTTCCACACACACACACACACACACACACACACACACAAGCACATGTACGGCATTGTGACAGTAGCACAGAGTGGTCTTCGCCCCAGGCTGCGCTCGATCCCCTGTTGACCTGTATGAGTCACAGTGAGAGGAAATCACCCATTACACACACACACACACACACACACACAAGCACTGTTTATTCTCCAGTGGTGGTCTTCTGTTTCTTTTCTTTCTTGTTTCCTTTGTCAGGTCTCTGTTTTCACCTTTGACCCAAAGGTGGCTGAACTATAAACCGTTATTTATGACAATTTTAAAATGATTTTTTATAAAGTATTACATTCTTAAAAATAAAATAAAAAAAGTTTAGTTTTGTCAAGTTGTCACTATTTTTTTTTTCTCAGCCATTTATAGTTTCAGTTTTAGTAGAGTAGACATAGAATATCTAGTTTATTCTAGGTGTTTAATAATGGCATATTCTGTTTTTTTTTTTAATTACATATATTTTTTGTCATATTTATTTGGTTTTATTTCATTTTGGAGTCAAAAAAATATTTGAACTTTTGAGATGATTGTAATATAATGTTACCACATCTCTTTCTGAGCATTTGTTCAGCCATAAACTGTATGTACTTGGCTTCTCTGCTCATTTTTTGCTGAATCCGTTGTTTCCCTTTGTCCTTTTGCAAACAGAGCGCACTGTCCTCATATGCCATAGATTTAATTAGAGAGCTGTTCCTCTGAGCAAGTTGTTTTAGTGTCAGAGCTTCTTTTCAGCTACTAGTGTGAGTTGCCCCAACATTACATTCTTAAAAATAAAATAAAAAAAGTTTCGTTTTGTCAAGTTGTCACTATTTTTTTTTTTCAGTGATTTATAGTTTCAGTTTTAGTAGAATAGACATAGAATATCTAGTTTATTCTAGGTGTTTAATAAGGGCATATTCTTTTTTATTTATTTTTTTTATTACATTTTTTTTTTTCATATTTATTTGGTTTTATTTCATTTTGGAGTCAAAAAAATATTTGAACTTTTGAGATGATTGTAATATAATGTTACCACATCTCTTTCTGAGCATTTGTTCAGCCATAAACTGTATTTACTTGGCTTCTCTGCTCCTTTTTTGCTGAATCCGTTGTTTCCCTTTGTCCTTTTGCAAACAGAGCGCACTGTCCTCATATGCCATAGATTTAATTAGAGAGCTGTTCCTCTGAGCAAGTTGTTTTAGTGTCAGAGCTTCTTTTCAGCTACTAGTGTGAGTTGCCCCAACATGCCACCCTTTTACACGATCTCACACATAGTGTATCCATTTACACCAAAGCATGCCAGTCCAGTTCCTTAACCACATTATTTTATAGGGTGTATAGTAGGGGTTTTTTGGTACTTGCCGATACTGAAACCAATACTTGAATTTTCACTGCATTTGTAAAAAATAGTGTGTACAGAAACCAAAAGAATATGAGTCATGTTAGCTGGTTTCATTTAGCAAATAGTTTCCTTCAGTTATTTTCACCCGTAATTATTCCCGTTACAATGTATTGTACAAGCTTTTGTTACTTTCACTGTTCATTTTTTATTTTTTTTTGCTTTATGGTATTTCATCTTTAATTTAATAGCGCATTAGAGCTGTTCCTTTGCAGCAGCTCAGTACTGTAATCACAAGACGTTTTCCTGTAATAATGCAGGGAACCACTAGTTATACATAAATCTTGTAACAGCGATGACCATATATGTTGCGTTTTTTGTCATCTGAAACGTGCTATGACTTATATTCCAAAGCGACTCACATAATGCAATTAACATCAAGCAAGCAAAACATCTGTATTGGTGCAGAAGGAGAGAGACACGTAAAGCCTAGCGCACTTCACACAGGCTGCTAGTTTCACTTTCGCCTTAAATAAAGTTGTGTAGGCTTGATGTTTAAAATAAATGTTGTTTATAGTGAATGCCCTTATAATTTTTGTTTGTTTTATATTTATGATTTAGTTTTAATCCAAATGATGCATGTGCTAATGGAGCAAACAGCAATCAAGATCATACAACAGAAGTGTGCGTTCTCTCTCTCTCGCTCTCTCCCTTACCGTCAAGTAACTTTAGTAACTTCTGCATAGTTTTACTTGCTTGTGACATATCCGACCGAACTACAAACTTTCCAGTGATGTGTGGGAGAAAGGGATATTTGCTTGACAAGCTCGCGCATCTGTGCTGCTGTGTGCTCAATCCACTCAGCGTGCTTTGCTTATCAGCTCGGGCACATCAGCTATACAGGCGTGAATATACCGAATGTTAACATTATATTAATTACATACATGTACTTGTAACTCCATTCTGCTCTCTGTTGTTCTGTTGTCGGTGTTTCTTTGTCTGGACACAGCACTGTTCACACACTGTGTGCTATCGGAGCATTTTAATGAGTATGAGTACAGGAGCGCAGTATCGGCCCAATACCGATAACCATTATCGGTATCGGTGCATCCCTGGTATGTAGTGAAACCCAGTTTGGGTCAGTACATAGTCTTATTTTTCTGCGTATTTAACAAAACCAACTTGTCCAGTTCTTCCTGAGCTTTTTGATAGTCACATAAATGATAAATGCTCTCCAAAAAGCACAGTGACACTCAGCAGCATGTTCATTGCAGGACCGACACACTGAGTTCAGACAGTTATGCATAATCACCGCTCAGCTCTCCGGCACTAGCAGATCAGTTCTGAGGTGTTAAATCACTTTTCAGTCACCCGTCAAGTGGCGTCTGCTGCATTTATTGTTCTTGTCTTTACACACACTCGTGGCTTTGGGAAATCTCCGCGAGGCTTGTTAAATGATAGGCTTGGATTATTCTGAGCCATGTTGTTAGATGTTTTTGGGTGTACCTGAGCCGTGCGATTAGGTTGGATGTTAGGGAGAAATGAAAATAACCTTCTGCCTTGGAAATGGTGGCAAATTATGGAAATGTATCTTGGTTTCCACTAAAATATAAGACAGCAGAACTGTTTTTAACTTTGAGAAGAAATGTTTCTTGAGCATCAAATCAGCATGTTAGAATGATTTCTGAAGGATCATGTGACACTGAAGACGGGAGTAATGATGCTGAAAATTCAGCTTTGCCATCACAAGAACAATTTACACTTAGAAATTCAATAGAAAATATAGAAAATAAATATAGAAAATATATTCAAATAGAAAATTGTTATTTTTAATTATAATACTAATACACATCATTTATTTTTTATTTAAAATCTTGAAAAATGAGGCTTATTCAAACTGTTTATCATAAGTCATGGAATAAGCATCTGAGCATGGCCTTAATCAACGTTTTAGTGTAATGGATTTTTGATATTGAGTATGACTATAGGGCAAAATAGTGTGACATCTAAACTATTTACTAAAGCAGTCATCTGTCTGTTGTGACAGACACCCGGGAGCGAGTAGCACACCAAAAATTTTCAAATAAACCTGCAGATTCTGCTTAACAACTGGAATGTTGCTTACAACAGGCAATCTGAAGTTTCGACAGTGGTTGCCTTGAAGCTTATTGTTAAAGGTGGTGAATTTGTACATTGCACTGCAATGATGAATTTGGATTTAAATGAGAAGAAGTAAGAAATTACATTTCTCAGAGAGAGTTTTACTGTGCTGACTATTAAGACGCTAAAGCAAAACATGCTGTCAGAATGCCAAAACGCTCTCTAGGAAGTTGCGTCTGTCAATTATTTGAGAATTGTATGTGAATTTCTGGTCTTCAGTTCTCCTAAAAGCTCATATTTTATAAACCATTATATAAACCTTTTTTTTTTTTTAATAAGTAAAAAAAATTATAATTAATTTATTTAGCATGCTATAATAGATTGTTTATTGTTTATGTGTTATTTAATATTTAATATAGACTGTAAAGACTTAATAATAATAATATTTAAAAAACACAATTAAAAAGACACAACAAAATTTTTAAAAAAAATGTTATGTCCTTTAACTACAATGGTTGTTTTTTTTCCTTGAAATCATTTTAAGGGATTGAAAATGTCCCCTATTTGAAGAATTCACCACACAGACAGACATTCAGACTTTATTAATCCTATGAGAAAATTTTCATATGGTGTATGCATATCTAGTGTGTGTAGAATCAGAGGGAGAGGAGGGGGGTCACCTCTTGCTCCAGTGCTGCCCAGCTCACTGGGTTTGCTGAGGTAATATTTTCTCCATGGAGTGAGAGAGAGAGAAATAGAGGGAAAGCGGGGGAGGAAGTGATGGGGGAGGGGACGACTCCTCTAGCAGGCATGCAGTATTCTCCTGATGAATAAACCCTTGTGCCAGAGCTGTGCCACCATCCCGTTACAGCGGAGAATGAGAATACTGCTCATTTCTCCAGGCTGCTGTGTGTGTATATTTATGTTTGTTTTATTGTGTCTGTTCAATGAGCAGAATTTATATAATTCATCAAGCATTTCTGATCACTGCTGTTCTAGGGTTGGTCGATGCGCCTGCTGCCCAATTTTTGTGACCGCGCGGACAGTCCGCGTGCAACAGCGCAGGCGCGTGGTGAATGTTGAGACAGAGCGAGTCGAGTAGGTGAGAGACTGCGCATGTGTCGAGCTCGTCCAGCTGCGCTCATCCGCGGTTGAGTGCCAAGCGTGAAAAGAAACCAGTGAGTACCTGAAACACTCTGCCTCGTTTTTAGAAATGCCAAGGGATCCACTTAGTTCTCCATTCATTTTAGACTGATAAGGCTTGGATTTAATCCCAACAGCCCTGGCTGGCAGACCCAGATTAAATGCAAAAATGCTGTTAAAAGGGATGTTCATCAAGTATTAGTTTTACCTTGGTATTGGCCTTAGCTTTTTGTGCAATTATGTCATGCTAGTCTATTAAATTTCCAGAATTTAAGATGAAGAATAAGTATTGAATTTATCCGGGAATGAAGTCAATCTGTGACATATTTGCAACTCCTGACATATTTGGATCAGTCTGTCTGATGTGGTGGTTTTGTTGCATGCTGGGAGGTTGGCATAGCCGAGGTGTTTTATCCCACGCCAAAGTGAGAATTAAGCCAGCTATAAATCACCCAGCCTCATGCAAAAATAAAATTTAAAAATAAATCATGGAAAGTAACTCTTTAGCATTGGGTTGGGGGCTAGAAAAATTGAAAAAATCTAGAAAAATGGAATCCAGTAAAATGTGTTAAATTTACAGAAAGGTCTACTACGTCAGTGAGGTACATACAGTAAACTGAACTCTCAGGATGCAAATGTTAGTGAAATATTTCTGTTGTCAAGACCAACAAAAAAGGAATGTGCGGTTGAAAATACTCCTGTAATTGAAGTTACGTAATATAAATATTAACAGATTAAATTAAAGCAATGTTGCGCTGAATTTTATTTTTATTTAAATATATTTCCAAGTAAACAGTTGGTAGTAAAATCTATAAAGAACAATGAAACAAATTACAAGCATAAGAAAAAAATTAAACGTATATTTTACTTTAGAACTACATTACCATTCAAAAGTTTGGGGTTAGTAAGGTGTTTTAATTAGTGCTGTCAATCGATTAAAAAAAATTAACTGATTAATCGCACCTAACATTAAAGTTTTTATTAAATTTATTTATTAAATATACTTTTATATTGCAATAATTTCACATGCAATCTTCAAATTAAAGTAGAAACAACATAAAGACATTTTTAATATTTGTTTAATGGCGAGTATCACTGATAACAATACTACTGATGTCTCTATGAAATTTTTTCTTTTCTTTCTAATATTTAACCATTGACTATAGCCATTCAACATTACCATATAATTGAGAGCTATCAATTTTAACATTTATTACAAAAGTTATTGATTTCCTCTTTTTTATTTTGTTCTTTGATCACAGCAGTTGGGTTATTTATTAGGTTATTTTGGCTGCTTTAAGAGCTGCCGCTGCTGAACATGACGCTGATCTGTCACGCATTGCATTTTCTCACAACTCTTTACCTTTTCTGACCCACCTCAGGTCTTAAAGGGATAGTTCATCCAAAAATGAAAATTTGATGTTTATCTGCTTACCCCCAGGGCATCCAAGATGTAGGTGACTTTGTTTCTTAAGTAGAACACATATGATGATTTTTAACTTTAACCGTTGCAGTCTATCAGTCGTATAATGCATGGCAATGGTAACAAAATCTATGAGAGTAAAAAAAAACATGCACAGACAAATCCAAATTAAACACTGCGGCTCGTGACGACACATTGATGTCCTAAGACACGAAACGATCGGTTTGTGCCAGAAACCGAACAGTATTTATATCATATTTTACCTCTAATACACCACTATGTCCAACTGCCTTGAGCGCGCGCACGGCATCCGGTGCGTGAGGTGTGTACGCACTCTGGCGTAGTTTACGTTAATGGGTGTGTTGATATCCAGCCGAAGAGCAATCAACCATAACTTCAGGCGAGCAGGCTCAGAAGTTGGGAATACATGGAAAGTCACCACTCCCGAATGAGTTCGCACGAGAGAACGTAATCTTTTAGTTTTAAGTCGGTTTGAACAATCCGGATAAGCGCAAGTAAGTACCATTTTGATTAGCCGTCGTACCTACAATGACTATGCACTGTGTAAACAATGAGTGACGTATACGCGCGAGAGAACACTTCCGGCGCTTGCGTAAACTACGCCAGAGCGCGTACACACCTCACGCACCGGATGCCGTGCACACGCCCAAAGACAGTTGGACATAGTGCTGTATTAGAGGTAAAAAATGATATAAATACTGTTCGGTTTCTGGCACAAACCGATCGTTTCGTGTCTTAGGACATCAATGTGTCGTCACGAGCCGTAGGGTTTAATTTGGATTTGTCTGTGCATGTTTTTTTTACTCTCATAGATTTTGTTACCATTGCCATGCTTTATACGACTGAGACTGCAACGACTGGAGTTAAAAATCATCATGTGTTCTACTGAAGAAACAAAGTCACCTACATCTTGGATGCCCTGGGGGTAAGCAGATAAACATCAAATTTTCATTTTTGGGTGAACTATCGCTTTAAAGTCTCTATTAATGAGTTGACGAGGTGAATCGGGTGTGTTAGATGAGGGAGACAGTGCTGGGCTGCTCCAGGACAGTTTTGAAAACCACTGCATTTCAGAGACATGTTCTTAAATGTGACTCATATATAACAAATACTTACATGCAGGCATAGTTTTAAGGCAGCTTTAATCACCTTTTTGGTAACTTCATGACTTAACTGACGACATAACTACGATATTGCATGCTCGTATTTTCTTTTACGGTTTAATATGAAATTATATAGGCTATAGCACATGCCGCCGCATTTGTGCATGTAATTGAAGAGCAGGTGCTACGAGCACAGTATAACAGCTGACAGGACAGGAAAATTAGTTTTTACTGACATATAGCAGCCTGACAACATCTCATCTGACTATGGTTCACTCTTGTTCTACTGAAGCTCCCTCGTCACCTGTACCTTTTCTGCGGAGTTGGACTGCGTGCCTGAAAAGTCTCCCGTTTGATGTAGTCGTAAAGACCTTCTACGTCTAAATAAACGTAATTCCTGTCAAGAAAAAAGAGACAGAAGCAGCAGTTGTGAGTGGGGTGGCCAACCCTAGCTCCGCCCCTGCATTAATTGCGTTAAATATTTTTAAGGCGTTAAACTGAAAAAATTAATTGCATACATTAACACGTTAATTTTGACAGCACTATTTTTTAATGTGTTTAAAAGAAGTCGTTTATGCACACCAAGGCTGCATTTATTTTATTAAAAATACAGTAAAAACAGTAATGTTGTGAAATATTATTACAATTTAAAATAACTTTTCTGTTTAATATTTGCAGGGTTCCCACAGTGATGGAAAAACCTATCATGAAAATATCATGAAATTTTTAATTTCATCAAATGTTTTTGATGCAATTTTACCCAATTTGCCATTATATCTGTTTCATTATTTAATTTATTTATAAATAAAACCTGAATAGGATATTTAACATATTTTTATTTTTGTATGGTATTGTTTTGTTTTATTTTTCTTTGTATAGCAGAAATGTTTATAATTCAATGTTTATGTTAAATGTATAAAATTATTGTACTATGTTGTAGTAAATATGTTAAAATATTTATGTACAACATATTTAAGAAATGTGTGTATTAACAGGCGTTAAACTGAAAAAATTAATTGCATACATTAACACGTTAATTTTGACAGCACTATTTTTTAATGTGTTTAAAAGAAGTCGTTTATGCACACCAAGGCTGCATTTATTTTATTAAAAATACAGTAAAAACAGTAATGTTGTGAAATATTATTACAATTTAAAATAACTTTTCTGTTTTATTATTTTTTAAATGTAATTTATTCATGTAATGGAAATGCTGAATTTCAGCAGCTATTACTCCAGTCTTCAGTGTCACATGATCTTTCAAAAATGAGTATAATTCACTGATTTGGTGTGTAAGAAATATTTTTTTTCTTATCAACATTGTGCTGTCTAAAATTGTGGAAACTGAGATACATTTTTCCAGGACTCTTTGATGAATAAAGTTCAAAAGAACAACATGTATTTGAGATAATATTTTTGTGACAGTATAAATGTCCCTTTTGTTCAGTTTAATGAGCCCTTGCCTTATAAAAGTAATAATTTCTTTAAAAAACAAATCTTACTGACCCCAAACTTTTGAACATTGCTATATTGTGAAATATAGTAATATAAAAGGAGAATATTTTAAAAGGGGAATATTTTCAGCAATCAATGACTCAAAATACAGTTGGTACTGAAGTACTGGTACTTCTGACAGCCCTGTAGGCTAGGGAACTGCGATTGACCCGGTTGCTTTAGTGAGTTATTTGTTGTTTTGTGCCATTGTCCTCCCAGATTCGGATCCGAGACCCCAACCAGGGTGGAAAGGACATCACAGAGGAAATCATGTTTGGAAGCCGCAATCCTACTCCTCCTGCCGGGCACTCGGCCTCCACCTTAACCCCACCTGCAGGACAGCCCTCCTCAACACCAACCCCACCCACAGGACACCTGTCCTCCACACCCACCCCTCCACAGGCAAGAAATACACATTGTTCTGTGCCTCCAGAAACAGGCATAACTTCAAATAGGGGCAGGTGTAGTCTGAGCTAAAATTACATGTAATTTCATAGGAAAGTGAATTATCAGGTGCCAGAATTTGTTCTTTCTCTGTTATTTATACTTGAAGTAATTATTCACTTCAGTGGAGTGCAGTTCTTAATGCATTTAACACAAGTTCATGCATCATGTGAGTGTTTAACACGTTGTGATGAGAGGGGCGGGGCCGAGAGCCGTGGGAACAGCGCGAGGCCAGTGGAGTAAATGCTAATGCGCGACACCTGCGCCACTCGAGTCCCACGGAGGAGCTCCGGAAGGATAAAAGGAGGAGTGACGACAGTGTTGGACGAGAGAGGACCATGCCTGGATTTTATTTTGTGTTTTGTGTGTGGCAGTCGTCCGCGAGAGGCTGCCGCTTTACTTTCATTTTGTGTTTGTTTATTTTATTAAAGTGTTTAAATGTTCGCCGGTTCCCGCCTCCTTCTTCCCGGGTTTCGGCACCAATGTAACAACGTTCGTAGTCACGGGAAGAAGGAGACGGGAACTGGCGAACATTTAAACACTTTAATAAAATAAACAAACACAAAATTAAAGTAAAGCGGCAGCCCCTCGCGGACACTGCCGCATACAAAACACAAAATAAAATCCAGGCCTGGTCCTCTCTCGTCCAACACTGTCGTCACTCCTCCTTTTATCCTTCCGGAGCTCCTCCGTGGGACTCGAGACGCGCAGGTGTCGCGC